AGTATGTGTTTACTTATTAATTGGTCAAATGTTTGCTTGTGTTCTGCTACATTTTCTTTTTGACTAAAAAGAGTAAAATTATTATAAAACAATTTTAATACTATATTATATTTATACTTGAACAAACTTGAATTTATATATGTATTGTATGTATTGATCTGTGCTATACTATCAGATCTCCAAATTTTTTTATCATGCTTGAGTTGTATTTATATTTTTTTTAATTGTTATGTGATTTTAAATATAAAATTTAAAATTTGGATTTAATAATATGATAACAAGTAATGAACTATATTAATTGTATCAATCTAGCATATTTTATTTAAAATTTATACTTTAATTAAATTGCAAACTGTTTTATAAACTTTAGTTTATCTTTTTTCTATAATTAAATTTTGCTTTCTTTTCTAACTGTACTCATTTTTGTTTTATTTTTTTGTAGAATTTGTAGTTTCTATCATTTATATACTAAAAATACATATACAATAGTAAACCTTATAAGAAAAATATACTAGAACTGCACAGGTTGGTTTCAGGTAGACACAAGTCTTTGTAGCACAAATAAAAATCTGGATTTGTAGAGGTATAGTCTGAGTTGGTCTAGATTTAGTGGACTATTTGAGACTGTATACTATGCTGTAAATAGCATGGGTTTTGCAGCAGTTTACAAAACAAATCAGTACAAGATTTGTCTTGAGTAATGAAATATAAATTTATGTACACCATAATAACAAATACAAATGTGTAAATTAAAGATTAAAACATAAAATTTATATTAATAATCAATATAATATAAACAAACTAACAGTATATGAAGTAAAATTTTGTAAGAAATTTTTTTTTTTGTTAAGATACTCAAAGCAGTCTCATTAGCAAAATTATGAAATATTGTACTTTTTTTAAAAAAAATTATTTATTAAACTTTCACTCTCTACAAAGTGAACCATCATGTATTATGAGCCAACATGTGTGCAATGTACACATATATGCTATCTGAATGTGTCATTCCATATGATGTGATATAACATGCTACCCCTTGTAGAGCTTAATTACCAAACTTAAGATCCTTGCACTATTTATAAATGCTATAGAGCCTAATAATAATATAAGGTCTTTGCTTTTGATATCATATCCATGAAGCCTATTTACAATATAAAGTTCTTGGATTGCCATTGTAGTCATAGAACTTAATTGCTAAATATGACAACTATAGAACCTAATCACATGATGTTCTTGCATTGCTATCGTATTCATAAAACCTAATTGCAATGTGAGATCCTTGTATTGCTATTGTAGTTGTGAAGCTTAATCACTGTGAGACCCAAAACTTGTGATCAATCATGTGAAAAATGCATGAAATGCATGAAGTGCAAATAATACCATTTATGATTGAAAACAGTATTTCAGATGCGAAAGGTAGATAGAAAGTAAAAGGAGGATATACATACAAATTAACTATCCTTAAAAATATTAGAGAAATAATTAAAAACAGTTTTAAATAGATTTATAGAATATTAAATATAAAGTCATATTTGCAAGCAACAGAAATAATCAATATAAATAAAGGCTGAATTGGCCCTCAAGAGCAGTAATCGCTCATTGCTTTATTAATTAATAAGTCCCTATTTTATAAAAATTGCCCATAATAATACACTACCCTTATAACCCTAATAACTCTAATAATGTTAATAAAATCATTCGCTTGATTGCTTGATCACATGACTTAACTGACCCTCTTTTGTTGACCAAGTAACCGAAGCCTTAATCACCCACCAGCCAAATCTAACACACCTCTTTTGTAAAGTTACTTACCGCAGGTTATGCGAGTTTTTGGATTGTGAAGTGACCAAGTCGCAGTTTTCTGAACCCAACATCACCATGCATAAAGTTCTTGTACTGGCTATAACAGCCATAGAGCCTAATGACAATATAAGATTCTTGTATCCAAAGAGCCTAAACACAATGTGAGATCTTTGCACTGCTATTATAATTATGGTGCTTAATTACCAAACATGAGACTCTTGCACTACCTGAGGCAGCCATATAGTCTAATCACAGAGTCTAATCACAATTTGAAGTCCTTGTACTGTTATTGTAGTTGTAAAACTTAATTATCAATAATAAGGTTCTTCACTGCTAGAGCAACTACAGAGCCTAATTACAATATGAGATTCTTACAGCCACAGATTCTAATTACAATGAGAGATTCTTCTACTACTATTTTAGTTGTGAACCCTATAAAAAAAGTTAAAATTCTATTCAGATTTTGTCCAGATTATTGTTTTAAAAAATAAGCTCAATCACCAAATATAAGGTTCTTGCATTGCCTGTGACAACCATAGAACCTAGTCAGAACATGAGGTGCTTGCATTGCTATCATAGCTATAGAGCCTAATCACAACATGAAGTTCTTTGTATTGCATAATACAGTATCAGATATAGTACACTTATTTCTAACTCCCTTTAATCAACTCAAGCATCTTGTTTTAATATTGTATTTAATGAACATTTAATTATCTAATCCATTTATATATAAACTATAAAATAGTAATTAACTTTGCCAATAAATAACTAAAAAGCTAATATATAATACCCAAAAATCCCATATATTTCCCTTTTTTGTTGATCTGATAATAGTCTTTATCCAGCAAACTTACATAATCATGAAAAATTTCTTTTAGTTATTTTTTTCATGTGTTATGATATAATTATATTATTCCGATATTCAAAAAATAAAACTCTGATACTCACCCAAATTGTATCCACGCCTCTATTCAAGCCTCTAAAACTGACATAACGCGAGATTTCTGGTCTTTTAGTGACAGACTCGCCATATTTGCCCCCGACAGTGTATAATTATAATATGCTTGAGCATGTTATTGTGAAGCTTTGCTTTTATAAGATATGTAAATACAAATAAATGATTATTCTTATGTTGATAGTTATTGGTCATTAATACGTGTTGCTTTGAGGTATGTGTAGCCAAATTACTGTATTTGACAATTTGCCCAATAATGGTGTTATTTCGCAATTTATGATCATAATTGGTAGGGAGTGCTCGCTGAGTTTTATTTTTTGAATATCGGAATAATATAATTATATCATAACACATGAAAAAAATAACTAAAAGAAATTTTTATCTATTTTATTTTACTAATCCGACTTCTATTTAACACCAACCCGCCCAGAACAGCCACTATGAAACATTCTTTATCTGCCGTATTTTAGTGGTACGCCTGTCGTACGATCGTATGGGACCCGGATATGCGGGTTTCACCCAATTTTGGGTTAATCGTAAATGCCGAAGCCCGAGGCATCGTTGTTGTGCCATAATCGCAGATCGTTCACCGATCCGGGATCCGATCGTTGTTCGGATCACGTTTTGTTCTGCCCGTGACAACACTCACACATTTAATAAATACAGCTATCTAATCCTTAACGTTAAAAACAAATACTAAATTATCAACATACTTTTACATACTAAAAAATTTATACTCAATTTTAATTACTATATTCCTCCAAAAATAAATAACCTTATTTTTAAAGAAATACACTAACAAATAAACATAAACTTATTAATCGATACAATAAAACTAAAAACAATTTAAACTTCAGATATTATTTCCTACTTAATTATCTTTTACTAATCAATCCAATTATATAAATTTAAATTCATTAATAATATAAAACGAATCTGAACAAAGTGAATCAACAATCATATAAAATTCCCATGCGCTTATAATTAAAACTATTCTTATATGTTAAGCATCGTGCTCCTTTATATTTATTAAAAATAAAATAAAGTTAAACACTTGATATTATTCTATTTACCAAATTAAAAATATCAAACCATCAATAATTGCTAATATCATGTTACTGTCTCATGATCTTTTATATCTAATTTTTAGCTAAAACAGGCGTCGTAGCCGCCCGCATTCGCATTCTCTAGTTTATCTATAAAAATTGTTTTTTTTGAGTTAAATAAAAAGATCGATTTTGAACAATAGAAATATATTTCAATGTCAAATATACCAAATTTCAAATTCGACATTTCGGTGTAGTATCATTAGCCAGCTTAGTCGTCGACTAATATCGCAATAAAATATTTAGAACTATGCAAAGTATTTTTTGCAAATTTCATTATTATAAACATGATATTGGCCGATGATTGGTCGATGATTTAATCAGCTAACAACACTATTTCGGTGGCATATTGCTTAAGAAACAAATAGCTTAAATCATATTATTTTCAAAATGAATTCGACCAAATTGGTTCAAGTTGATACGACTTTTCTAATGAGCATTTTTTGAAGATATCGCATCTACTGTAATGTTGAGTTTGATAGCGTAGACAATAGTGATAATAATTTGGAACAAATTAAAGAAGAAAATATAATGCAGGCGATTGCAGTTTTAATATTAATGATAAACTACTTATAACGAATCAATAATCGAATCTTCCATTCAAGCTACACATAAAATTGTGGGACAACTTTGAGAACTGGGTATTTTTTTGAAAAAATTAATAATAATTAATTCACTCGCGTTTGTAATTTACAGCATAGCTATGGTATTTTAATTTTAAAATAAATATTAAATTTGAAAGACATCTGCATTTTCAGTAACAATATTAAACAATAAATATTTTTAAAAATAAATATTAAATTTGAAAGCTTTCTAGTTGATATAACGACAATCATATTTGTATATAACTGAAAATATTTATTATGATGAAATTAAGAATATGTAAGAATATGTAAGAATATATAATGATATGTTAAATTTTATTCTGTAATGCCTGGCAACTTGACGATTGTTGATAGAGATAATGAATTGTTTATGCCAATATTTTATTTGTACTATTTAAGCAGCGCCTAGAGAAAATTTGCAAATTGATTGTTACGAGATTAAAATCTGAATTTGCTATATTTATTATGTATCTTCTGACATAATGAATAAAAAAGATCTATTTAGTGTTTCAATTATAATTATTAACCTAATTAACATGAAACATCACAAGAAGGGCCAAATAAAGATATCCATAATGAAATATTGTTGGATAATATACTTAAAAAAATTAAACTTATTGCTACCACTACACCACTAATAGTATATAATATATTAAGTGAAACGGGGCCATACGCACTCTTTTCTCCTCTTACGTGACTTACATATGCAATGATGCTATTTAAAGACCAAATAGCACAAATTATAGCCAAAAATTTACTACGACAATAAAATCCTACTGGGGGGACAAAGTAAGCTATAATCACTGCAAACCACGGAAGTAAAACTGAAATAAGAGCAATAATCGCAGTGAGAGTACTACTAGTCATTCTTTTGTCTAAATCATGAACTATTTGTAGTTTACCGTTTAAACGTTTTGATTTCACCATGTTTACAACTTTTCCATGTTTTAATCTGATATAAATTACCGGTAATGTCCAGATGAATAATAAGGGGATAAATGGCCAATCCTCGACTGAATCATAATCAATACATGGACTTAATGCTTTAGAAATTCCGGCATAAATGCCAACCGACATGTAATATAAAGAAGATAGCGATGACAATCTATCTAATAATGATGCTTCTGAGACCCAATCTTTCATAATATTTTTCTGCGAGTCTGTAGGCTTAATCGACATAGCATGATGCCCGAAAGGCCAGTTACGTATCATGCCTTTAGTTTCTCCTTCTTCTACCACTTTACTGTTATTATCATCCCAGGTACAGATAAAATCTTCTGCTTCAAGCCAGTACGAACACATTTCAATGTGTTCGCAATCTATGTTGCAAAAGTAAAATAATCCGAAGAAAGGAGTCCCAAGAGACCGTGCAAACCATAATAACTTTTTCATTAAAGTTGTTTTAGGAGTCGCTGCTACTATTGCCAATATTGGAAGTGTACCGAGTACATACTGCGGCATAGGGTTTTGCAGCTTATGTATTTGCACTATTAATGATGCCATTTTATAGTATTATTGAGAAAATAATAATATAATTCAAAGCGAGACTAATGAAGTTTCGAAATTAATGATTCGACGTCTGATTTCATAAAATAATTCAAAAGAAGGGACGATTTTAAAAGTATGTATTTATTAACATAATCGTTTATGGTGAATGTTTATCGAAAAAAAAGCTAGTTTTATCACAGGCTTGCCTATTTAATTTACCGATTGGGGATTCTAAAAAAAAAAAATAGGATCTTTTAAATTTCCACTTATTTTTGAAGAAAATTAATTCTGAAACACCTAATTATATAAAATATTTGTTTGGGATTGAAAATTACAATCAGAAAATTTTATTTTATTTTTCCGATTTATAATCAACATAGTCAAAATACTATTTTAAATATTCTATTTATTTGTAAATTGCACAATTCTGAAATTCATTACGTAAAATTATAAATGCATCTCCGGTAGATAATCTAATAAGTGTAAAAAGCTACAGATATATTATAATCGTAATAAATATTTGGATGTTGCAAAGCGAAAACCAGGAAGTAGAGTTAATACCTCTATCCGGATTTATATATCCGGATATATGATATATATAAAAAATATATCCGTATTAACTCTAATTTAAAGTTTAGTTGTTATACAACATAAACTGATGTAACCATAACTCTGTGGTCAGAATCGTGGATATAAATGCAATTTGTATATTAATCAATATTTGAATAAAGTTGGATAAAAAAAGTTAACATTATCTGAATTACGAATCAGATTTCAAGTTTAGATGCAACGTAACACGGTTAGGAAAATCTAAGCAAGGTTCGCTTTGGCAAAAGTAGTTTATTTCTCAAAAATCTGCAAAAAATATATCCTTTATTGCTTTAAGGGTAGAGAGTAATTACATTATTTTGTAACCTTGTGCCCGCAGTAAACAGATTTTAGTTGGCTTAAAATTTTAGCAAATCAAAAACTTTATGCTGCGGAGGCATAATGATACTAATTACTTTAAAAATTACGTTTTAAGTAATTACGCTCCACCCTTAATAAATCTCTTAACGGTTTCACAACATTGTTGTCAATTTCTAATTCTAATATGAACACTAACATTAATATAAATAAATTTAAAGAATTTTTTGCGTCACAAACCTGGCGCACATTTCTAGACGTGCTATTGTCGACCAATTAAATTATGAAATTACCGATAATATTATATTTAATTGAGCTTGTAATTTGATTGATCAATTACAGACAAAGTGATGTTAGTTAGAACATCTGAAACAAAATTACATGAATTCTGGAAGTAGCCGAAATTTGGATATGATGTAGATATTTTTGCAAAAATTTGAATATTATTTGTGTTGCCAAATGAAAACCGGAATTCGTAATACAATAATCTATTGGTGACTCATTTGAATACTTGTGGACTAAATTTTGGTTTTTGTGCCAATAATTGAATATTTTAAAATTATCCATGTCCCTTGTCGAAATATTCGGTCATAGGACATCTATATAATTGGCTGGTGTGCCAGGAATTTACTTATACACTTTAGAGTGCTTTTGAGAACACAACTTTTCACTGATAAAATATCACCGTAAAGACCATTTCTAACTTCGAATGAACATCTATATTGACCTTGTAAAAATTGTCAACAATAATTAGTAACCTGAGAAGTTCGCTTAAAACCATTTATTTTACTATCTATTCCAGTAACCATTTGGATGTCTATAGAATAGATGCGCAATCTTTGCTAAACTCTTTCAAATATATTAAAAATTATTACAAATCACCGGCAAAGCTTATCTATAGAACATCCAAACATTGTCCACAAATATCAAGAACGGAGGTACAGATTTACATATAAAGTAAATTGAATGTAGCGATACAGTAATCTTTCTTTGTCGCCATGCAGCAGATCATTTACTAAAATTTATGATTAGCGTTAGGTATCTCATTTATTGGCTTTTAGACTAAAACAGAAAAGATTTTCGTATGAAAATTTTAGGTGGGTTAGTCGTGCCATAAAAATGTCGCGGTCTCGTGATCACCGACCTCTTCCGATCCGAAAATTCAGACATTA